CAGTATGAAACAATGAATTGTGGAGAAAGTGACATATTATAATACTACACATACAGCAATTGTTATGCAAAACAAATTTACAAATTTAATTATAAGAAATAGAAATACAATTAGAAACGATATTGATAAATGTAGGTCCCTGAATATCATGTCAATAAGACATCTGTGTATGTTCAAAATTTCAAGTCATATACTGAAGTATGGTATTTTTTTAAATAAAAACAATTTATAATATTAAAAGTCAGGGATTTAAATACATTATTCCATGTGTAAAAAGAAATATGCACAAGTGTTGTAATTATGTGGCTTCAAAATTATATAAATAAAATGTGAAGTAAATTTTAATAAATATAAAAAATACTAAATAATCATTTATTTAATAGTGAAAAAAATGTAGAAACTTTGCTATATAGTTGTATAAAAATTAATATACTAACATGTCAGTTTGACATCCTGTACAAGTGTTTTGGAGATATCTAAAGAAAATGTGCAATTTTTTGTAACTTGTGCCTGTAATTATGTGTACTATAATACATCTAAAAACATGACAATTTTCAAATTTTTCAACATGGCAGAACCACTCTACCATATATAAAAAACCTTCAACACCTAACCAATACATATATTTGTTCCTCATTCTTACTCACTTTTCTGGTAATGTGACACTAACATCATATAATTCTGGTGCAAAAGCTCGCACATCACTGTACCTGCAAATCAAACATTACCATGACTTTTAAACAATGAAATATAATAAACTATCTAGCTATCTATAAAACTGAATAAAAATTTAGATATTTAAGTTCAATTAAACATAGCACAAAAAGAAAATAAGATTATAACGATTTTTTATTACTAAGCTTAATTATATTCAGAGTTCAAGCCAGATGTAATACATGTGTGTACAATTATTCATTTAAAAGAAGTGAGTTGGCCACATAAGCAAAGAAGTAAACTACACTTCCAACCACATAGTTAGTAATTAAGTGCTTGAGCAGGTGTGTGTTACAAAACACCAAGCCACATGTAGCATTAAAGCAGTTTTGAATCCTTAATAGTCTATGATCAATTATTCAAGATATAGAATAAATACTTTTCATGAAGTGTCAATAGTAACAACCTGACCTATAGTATTTGTACAAAACTGCTGAGGATAATAATAATAAAAAATCATTCATGCACACACACACATACATTTTTGTCCTGGAGTATTAATTTTTAAATTTATTAAATTCTTTATTAGAGGATTAATCAGCACTGTATAATGAATATTTAAACAAAATGCATGGAGTTTTTTTATTTTTTATAAACCTACAGTCAAGTAGAAAATAGAGCCAGACAGGACCCATAACAATAGTTTATAAGCACTAAGTTAGACTAATAAGAAATATTTACTTCCAAATGGGTTACATGTATACATGGTAAAATGGATGAGGAAATTACTTAAATTCAATTGTTACTTTCAATGTGAAAAAAGCTTTTTGAAAATTACATCTTTAAAATTTTTCAGACCTTGTTGGGTGACCTTCTGATCAACCTGGCTATTCAGGCATAAACTAAATGATAATAGGATCTAATAACAAAACCACCAGTTAATATGGCAGTTGTTAATACTTACACTCGTGTTTTAAAGAATGGAAAACAGGCATTTCCTCCTGTTAGCAGAATATTCTTATACAGATGAGGCTGGACTTCTGAAAATAAAAGCATTTCACTATGAACTTAAGGAAATATAAATACATAAGCAGTTACTCTCTAGGTAATTACATCTTATGTTCCATAATTTACAAAATTTTAACATACTAATTACTGGGCTTGGGCTTTCATGAAATGTATATGCAAAATTAATTTTATAAATAATAATAAAATACATCTATCAGATACAATTTTCAAACGTAATTCAATCCTTTAAAATTTAATGATACTAACAAACTTCAACTATAACAACAAATATGTCTAAATATGTGTTTAAACAAATCAACTAAATCACACACACACACATGTAACCCTCTTTTCACCTCTCGTTAGTGGATCACATATATAATTAGCAAGTGTGATAGGTAAAAAAAGTTAAAACTTTTCATTACTTTTTATGATTTCACTAGAACAACCGTTACATGTCCTTACCTTCTGGAGTGGCCTGAATTGAATGCACAATAGCTTCTGGAATTCCCATTTCTTGCACTCCAATATCAGATGGATGGAACAATAATTCTGGGACCATAAATCTTTCATTATTCATTCTAATGATCTAAAGAAAAAAAATCAGTGGCTAATAAATCAATTTTAAATTTACAACTGTACGAATATAAAATAACATTGCCAATTATAATACTAAACAAACTACTGAAAGAAAAGCAATATTCTAACTTTAAACTGAATGAACTTACAGTTTCAATAGAAGTGGTGCTGCCAGTCCTTTGAAATTCAAAATAGATGTTTGAATCAAGATCAATAGCTTTTTTAAATACAAACTTGACTTTGTACTTGTCAAGTTGCTTGTGCACGTTAGTTGATAACAATTTTTAAGTCCTGTTTTGATAATAACTGACAAGGAGACAGTTGTTTTTTTCACTATATTGATTCAAAGAGGGACATCTGATGACTGACTCTACATATCCTTGTTTCCAAACAGGTAAGTGTATTTGTATATTCCTCCTGAATGTTTCAAAGCTGAAATGACATTCTTGAATATGAATTGGCCTGAAAATGCAAAATCCTAATTTATTGATAAGATGCAATATAATTACCAGCTTTTTTTTAAAGTTGTGAATAGAAGAATTCTGCTTCTCTTTTTACTTACTGGACTTTAACATGGCAACAGCTAGTAGTTCAGATACTTGTTTAAATGTTCACAAATTTTTAAAACAAACAGGTTTCATCAAATTTCGAGAATAATAAAGAGGTCTATGTTTTTGAGGGCCATAATTTTTTCATGACATAAAAGATTAGTTAAAGTTGGGGATAAACTAGAACATATAGCAAATCCACCATTTTAAAAAAAAAGTAGAAATTCTCAGTTGCAAACTCTATTAAGTTGATATATACATATCAAGGTTAGCTTCTATTACATCATGTTTTTTGTTAATTAGTTCAACCCTATGTTTCACCCACTGATATGAATGTAAGAAACAAAGAAAACAAGCATCAAAAATAAATAAATATGTATTTTCATGAAAACAACCATTTTACTTCATCCAGAAATTTAAAGTTGATTGATTTTCAAGGAAATCTTTAGGAAACTCTGATAGAAACCTGGCAACCAGCTGATAAAAGTCAACATTTTCTTTACCTGAAGATATATTTTCAATAGATACTCACTTCTTCACATAGAAAGCATCTTCTACATGAATCTGCCTCAGAGATTTTCATGCCACTAGTCTTTAGGTAACTTCCATCTAAACTCACACGATTTTTCAAGATCTGTGCTACTATATAATGATATTACCATGCAGCAACCCCCCCACCAATAGGAGGGTGACACAACCTCCTTATGCACTAGCTCCCTCTATGTTTTTGCACTCATGATCTTCATTTGTAGATGAGGTAAAGAATACTGAGTAGCACTGGAAGTGGGGAGGAAGGGTGGGAAGTGTGTGAAGATGTATCTATTGGAAATACATTTTCAGGTAAGGAAAATGTTAACTTCTGAGGCAATACACATCTCATCACACAGAAAGCTAGAATCCCACATTGATATGGTGGAGGGACTGGTGTGAAAGTTACCTAGATGAGCTCCCTACAGAAAGCGGCTGCAGGAAACCCATGTATATGTATAGTAAAAAGCATAGATGTCTGAATGATAGCAACTACAGTTGAGGAGTAAGAGAAAATAGGTCTTAAGTGAGAGATGTTATAAGGAGCAGGTGATTATTGGCTCGAAAGGGGCCTGGGTAAGTGTGTAGGATGACATTCAGGTTTCAATCAGGCATGGGAACAGGGTGAGGAGGTCAATGAAGAAGGAAGGATTGGAACAGGGTGGAGGAAGAAAACACCTTGTGATATCAGAAAAGGTGAAAGGTGGTAAACAAGGCAGCCCAATATCCAGCAATGGTGGAAACAGTGAACACTTTGTCAAGCAGCCAGGTAAAAAAGGAAAAGTGATGGGCAATAATGGGCTGGTTAGGAGGAAGGTAGTAACGGATGGACCAACGTAAAAAAACATGCTATTTTTGATGATAGATGGTCAACAAGAATGAGAAAGGGAGAAGGCTACCCTATGAAAAAAGTCCAGCCCAATGGGTGATAGGCCAGATAAATCTCAAACGTGAAAGTGGAGGGACGTAATTCCTGTATGGAATAGCAATGAGTGAGGTTGGAGCAAGAGAGGTGTGGGAAGTAGGGGAAGAGAGGGACAAGTAAACTAAAGGTGAAGAAAAGGGAACCAAGGTTGCACTGGCCAAAGAGGTGCCATCAAGAAGATACAACAAGAAATGTTGGGAATCAATTCCAGGACCTGTGGTGGATAAAAGTTGGAGAGTTGAGTAAGCATACAGGAAGATAAATACCAGTCCTGATTGAAAGCATTGACAGCCAAGATTGAAAGGTGGGGTACATGAGACCAAAAGAAGGGAAGCTTGGAATTGAGAGGTGTGGCAAAGTTATCAATGAGCAGAGTCCTCAGGAGAGAGCACATCCATCAGAAAACCTGAGAGTGAAGAGACCACACTGGGCAGAATACAGTTTGGCCTAGAGAGCTGGTCCACCATGAGGTTCATAGCACCCATAACATGACATGCAATGAGGAAACTCATTGAGAATTGGCCCAATAAAGAAGGTAGAGAGTTTGAAAACAAAGGGTCCTGGATGTGATTCCTCCCTGATTGTTTATGTAGGAAACAATGGTGGAGTTGTTGGAGTGAACTATAACCAGGGGTGGGAAATGGGAACATGCCTGACGCATCGCCAAAAGTCCAAGCATGTTGATGTGAAATGAAGACTCATCCTGGGTCAAAGTGCCTGATGAATGTTTGTTGTTTACAGATTAACCCCATCCTGAGAGGGAAGCATCAGAGAAGAGGTGTAAGCCAAGTTTGGGTGGAGGCACACCAACAGTAAGATTGGGGTGGTCCAGCAACTAAGAAAGGTGTGTGACCAGAGGAGGGGACAGGAGAACCATGGAGTCAAAAGGTTCCCATAAGTGATTCCACTGGTCATGCAAGAAGGAGTGAAGGAGAGGCATATGGGCATGGCCCAATGTAATAAGGACTTCCAGGGAAGAAATGGTTCCTGGAATTATTAGAACCTCTCGAGCAGCATGACAGAATGTTTCAGCACTTAGATTTGGAGAGAAGAAGGTTGAAGCCCAGCTGAGAAAGGTGAACAAGGTATTGGTTGGGGGTAAGAAAGGTTGTTTGATTGTTTGGAATAAGAAAGGATTTGGAAATTTTGAAAAGCCCCCCTAAACAGGCAGCTTCCCACAGAAGAATAAAAGTGTGCAGGTAAAACTCCTCCTGCAAATGGAATAGAAGAAGCCAATCATCCATGAAATAATGGAATTGTAGACTGAGTCCATGGAGATGACACACGAAGGCTGTGATGCCTCTTTTTAAGATGTAAGCAGCCAACGAAATGGCAAATGGAAGAGCTCTGAACTGGAAGATACAATTCTGATGAGTGAATTGAAAGAAATATCTCAAAGACTCTGCAGTGGGAATATGAAGGAATGCATCTGAAACGTCAACCTTGGTCATCCACAGTCTGGGTGATAAGGATCAGAAGAGAGAAAAGAAATTTACCATAAGAAAATGAGGGACAACCATGTAGCAATTCCGAGAGGAAAGGTCGATGACCAGCTCAATCCTCAGTTTCCTTGGGGATCACAAAATAGGCAGAGTAAAACCCTAGCAAAGAGTCATGCACCCTCTCTATGGACTGTTTGTGAAATATATCCGACACCGTGTCTTCCAGACATCAAAGACAGATAGGATCCAAGGAAGGAGGAAAGTGAACTGAGTATAGGCTGAATAGCAGAGAGAGAGAGAGAGAAGGAGAAATAGAGGGAGAAGCCATAAGAGAGAACAAGTGTGACCCACCTGTCTGCAGACAGGTGTTCCTAAAGATGTGCATGCTGCAGCAGAAGAATGTTTACGAAGTCCACATTTTTGCTGTAGTCACTGATGAACCTGGTGAGACTGACATTGGGCCAAAGACTGTCGAGTAGAAGGAGAAGGATGGGAAGAGGTGAAGGATTTATAGGAAGCAGGAGGACTAGGATGAGACACAGGAGTGGAACATGGGGGTTGGGACAGAAGAGTAACCAAGGAAGTTAGCAAGGATTGAATCTTGACTAGTGTGGGGATATTCCTCACTCCAGATGTTGAAGTAACATGAACCTGAGAATTCATGACTGGAATAAATAAAGGAAACAAAGTCCCTTTATCAGACTGCAAATATCTGTAAATTACAAGCAAAAACAAACATGTCTTTGTCATGCAATGCCAAGGAAAAAGAATGAAGATCATGAATGCAAATGCTTTCTGAAGGGAGCTCACCTAGGTAACTATTGCTCTGGTCTATCTACCATATTAATGTGGAATTATAGCTTTTTTGTGTGAAGAGATGTGTATTGCCTCAGAAGTTAACATTTTCCCTTATCTGAAAATGTATTTCCAATAGATACATCTTCCCACCCTTCTTCCCCACTTCCAGTGCTACTTAGTATTCCTTGCCTCATCAAAGAATGAAGATCATGAGTGTAAAAGCATTGAGGGAGCTAGTGCACAAGGAGGTTGTGTCACACTCCCATTGGTAGAGGGCTTTTGCTGCATAATAGTGTCATTATGCAGTAGCACAAATCATGAGGATTCTTATGAGTTTAAAGGCTAGTAGCATGCAGATCTCTAAGATCATGGGAAAGATGCTGTGTGAAGAGGTGTATATTGCCTATGAAGTTCTTATGTCAGGTATGGTCAATATTATGTTTATGGATCCTTGGTAAGCCACAGACAATAACAGAGTGAGAAACCTATTGATCTAATACTATTATAAACATCAAGAATAAAAACGAACTTTCCTTAATTTTAATAAATGTTTCTGAAGATGGATCAAATCCCCCACTTGGCAAATTTAGTTATCACTTAATAAAGTTTCAGTTTTAGTGATAGCATCTTTTTTCTTCAAAGTAACCACAGAACTAATATCATCCCTTTAATTTATAATGACATTTAACTTACTTACAGACATAATAAAAAGTCAAGACAACACTGCCTACTCATATTTCTATCTGTTCAAAAGATTCATTTAATGAGA